GGTAGTCGGATGATTTTGCTTGTGACTTGAATAGCAATAACGCATTATTAATGAAGCCGTCTGTAGTTCCAACGTGTGTAATTGTCCATCCCCTACTCTTACCTGAATCTCTGACCAATAACACCTTAAGAATCTGACTGCCAACATTTTTGCACCCCATGTGATGTATGAATAAATGTTTCATCTAAGTAGACAATAGTCCGTCCCTCTTCTCGGTATTTTTTAATTTCATTGAAGTAATTAAATCGCCTGACAGCTATATCTATTCGTTCTACAACCATATTTCGTTTATAATTAACCCTTTTTGTATTTATATCCGAGTCATTTTAATATTTTCCATAGTTTAAGTACGGCCCTCTTTCAAAATTAATTTCAACTCGCAATTCGATAAGTAATTTATTTAACGTAGGAATTTCTTTTCGTACAGCCTAAAATGACATAATTTTTTTGTAGAATTGCACAAGCAACAAAATTAGCGATTTTGATCTTCGTATTGCGATCTGATCGTTTTTTCCTTGTGTAGTTACTTTTGATGCACCAGGCACACCAAAATTTGAAACAAAACTGGTCTCTCTTGTCTCAAAATACAGGTTACAGTAGATCTGATCGGATACATCTGTAATCATTAAACAAAAGTAATTTTACTATTTTAGATAATTAATAAATTTTAAATATTTTAGTAACGTAAGTGACGTTACTACCGGGTGTCCGGTGGCAGAATTAGGATTTCAAAATTAAATAATAAAAAAACTGCAAAATATTTTTTTTTATTTCAATGACTATAACAAAGAAGGGAAGTGCGGGTTTTATTTCTTAAAAATTATTTCGTCTAAATGTTGACCATCACGTCGGACACACTCTTGGAATCTGGCTTCAGTATTGCGCGCCACTCGCTGGAGAAGGGACGTCGGGATGCCATTAACCTCGCGAACGATATTTTCTTTTAATGCTGAGATGGTCGGTGGGGCGGTTTCATAAACTTTACTTTTGAGGTACCCCCACAGAAAAAAGTCCATGGGGGTAAGATCCGGCGACCTGGGTGGCCAGGGGATGTCAGCAAAACGGCTTATCAATTTGTTAGGGAACAAATCACGAAGAAGCGCCATGGTCTCTCTAGCAGTGTGAGGCGTGGCGCCATCTTGCTGAAACCATGTCTGTGAACTGTAGGCAGGATGTTCTCTTAATATTGGCAGGAAAAAATCGTTAAGCATTCGCCGATAAGAAACGCCGGTTACAGTAATGGCTTGTCCTTGACGATTTTCAAAAAAATAGGGTCCGATTATTCCTCTGCTTGACAATGCACACCAAACCGTCACTTTGGGACTGTGAAGTGGCTGTTGATGTTTCAATCGCGGGTTCTGTCCTTTAGGTGACCAATAACGGCAGTTCTGTTTATTTACACTTCCATTTAAATGAAAATGGGCTTCATCGCTCCAAAAGATTGTGTTCACTGTACGAAATCGCTGCAACATTGTTTCGCAGAAACTTTTGCGCCAATTGTAATCATTAGGCTTAAGCGCTTGCACAATTTGAATTTTAAAGGGGTGAAGTTTAAGGTCCTTTTTCAATATTTCGTGCACAATCGTTTTTGGGAGCCCTAGAGCAGCCGCTCTCTTACGCACGGACTGTCGCGGGTTATCGCGTAAACTGTTTGCGACAAGTTCGATGTTGTCATCAGTCCTCGACGTTCTGCTGGATCCCGGCCGCGGATTATTTGCTGCTGAACTTGTTTTTCTGAACCTCCGCACCCACAATCGAATCAAATTTTCGCTTGGCGCATCACGTAACCGTCGGATATTGTACCGCGAACAAAATCTTCGACGAGCAATAGCACAGGAATCGTTTGCTTTAAAATAAGCTTCGATTGCGAACGCACGTTGTTCACCCGTCCACTGCGACATCGTGACTAAGGAACCCGCACGAATGACGAATCGAACGTGACCCCCCCGCCCGCCCCTCCGCTAACGGTTCGAAAACAGTTCGAAATTTAAATCCTAATTCTGCCACCGGACACCCTGTATAATACACATGTGTCGTTACTAATATATATATACTTCTTTACATACAAATATTTTAATATCATTAATGAATTACACAAGTTAATCTAAATCTTTGTAACTGGACACCCTAAAAACATACCGGTCATGCCGACAACTCGGGCACGAATTTTTTGCAATGGCACAATCAGATTGTTTTCAGCCATTTCTTTTTCACAAAATGTGTAAACTCCAAAAATATTTTGTCTTTTAGCATTTTTAACCACTTTCGTCATTTTCAAAATTAAGATTAAAATATTAAAAAGCAAAAGAGCGCACATATAGGAACCGATCACATTCAAAAAAGATAACGGCTGAAGAAACAGTGCTATCAATCACTCACGCGTCAAGTTAAAATGAACGGACAATGGCTGCGTTTGGCAGGAAAAAGCGCTAGCAAGCGGTTGTAAATGGCGATCGTAAGCGGTAAGCGTTGTCAAATCGTAAGTAGCTATTTTCCTCTAGGACACGAAGTTAGTTTTAACCGGGGAACCTAACCTAATTTAAATATATGTTTGTAAAGTATTCATATTAAAAACTTACCAATCATGAATTTTTTATAACATGTATTTGTCTATTCATGTCATTATATTACTTAAAACTAATATTGCTCAAAACAACTTATAAACTCTACTTCAAAACAAACAAATTAAATAAGCAAAATGGCGGATTGTGTCAGTGCTCCTGAAGTTAGCAAACGTATCCTGGCCGAAAACTGTTTATTTCGCCATTTTGCTTAGAAGCGCTTGCTAGCGCTTTTTTCTGCCAAACGCACCCAATAGCTTCATGGTTTCTTATAGTATTTTTGTTTGAAACGCAAAGGCATATGCCAATTATGCCTATACTTTTGTTTCTTCGTGAAGGCATACGATATTTTTTCTGTTAAACTTTTTATTTATGTAGGCTCGGACGAAATAAAAACTCAAGATAGAGCGCTGTCAACAATAAAGTGAGGTCGGTTTGGTTAACATGTGTGCACTAAGTGAATGTTGCCGTGCAGTTAAAACTTATTACCCTAATATATTATTGTCTAAGTACTATCAGGATGAATGAATAAGTAAAAAGAGTTGGCAATTTTTTAAATTTTATACTTCACTTTAAGTAGTATGTAAGTATGTTTGTTCTGACTAAGTAGGGGAAAAATAAACCAATAGTTATATGAAAGAAACATTGTTTTTATTTTAATAGCCTTTTTGTTGGGTCAATTTATTGAAATATTGCCGTTTACCGTCCACTGTTTTGGAAATTGTTTCCAATTTAGAAATATGGTGGAAACGAATTGATAAATATTTTTCAATTATGCATCTTATTAACCTTTTTTTATGCTCTTGGCCAGCATAATTGTGCTCAGTAACTAATTTAGAGAAAACGTTGTCAGTACCAATAAATTGTTTTAAAATATTAATAATAACTGATTTGTGTTGGTTTTCAGTAACTATCACTATGCTTTTATTACATAATTTACGCACAATAGTTTCACAAATTACGCAAATTTCAAAAAAGTCTTTCGATGCAAAAATTTACCCACCTTTATCTTTTAAAGATATCAGTTTATGGAAGTCAAATATCTCATATAATATAATAAACGACATTTTTGAATTTCATCATGATTCATCATTACAGCCCTTCACAAGTCCACTGCTGAACATAGGCCTCCCCCAAGTAATGCCACAAAGCACGGTCCTGAGCCACCTGCATCCATCGACTTCCTGCATGTCTTACCAGGTCGTCACTCCATCTAGTGGGGGGTCGCCCTACACTACGCCTACCGGTACGAGGCTGCCACTCGAGAACCTTTCTTCTTCGTTTTTTTAAATTTATTATTATGTAATAATAAATATAATATTATGGAAACATTGAACCTTTGGATACCCGTTTCGTACCGCACGACGAAGTCCTTTATTTGTGTAATAAAAATCGTCATCTTCAAAATGTGTCGAACAAACTACCGTAAAACCGGCCATCATTGCCTGCAATTTTACTTAATTTTGAGATTTTGCAAAAATTATTTACCAGAACGCGTAATAAAGTTGATCAATATAGCAATTACTATTAAAAGCTTTAAATCACAAAATGTTGAGAACCTGGCTTCAACAGAATTCAAGAAAAATGCGTTTAAATAGCCGGGCTAAATTATACGCACAACCGTCCAACATTGCTCAGTCTTATTTTTTCTAAAACTATCAGTTCTAAGGTTTTGGAAATAAAATATATTATGGTAAATTATGCAAAGTTGCCATTTTTCTTGATCTACATGTCGAATACCTTTTATTTTTTATTTCAGTTGGGTGGGCAATGTTATGCTACACACCAGCTACATTTTCTTACAAACTAAAACGGTGGCTTAGGGTCGTCACATAATGTCATAAATAATAATCTTTTTCATGTTATAAATTTTTGTATTAAAAATCAGTCAGGTACAATAGTTATTCATTGCAGTTATAAGTATTAAGCGCTTTGCGCCCGGAAAGGTTTCCGACAAAATCTTAGAAAGAAAAAAAATTTCAACGCTTCCCGGACACATAAACAAATAACTAAACTAAGAAAGAAAAAAATAACCTATAAATATAGTGTGCAAACAAAATACTTTTACATAACACAGTACTACTCAAAAATTTTCTAAAAAAAAATCAGTTGTTTCATACATTTTAATCGTGTAGTAGATATTTCAATTTATTTGTTTACACCTTATATTTTTTACTTTAACCAACAGTCTTAATAAAGGAACTTTATAAAAAAAATTTGGTTGTTGTCATAGCACGTAGATATTTCAAAACTAAGTTGACTCTTAAAGTACTACTTACTACTACACAACAATAACAAAAACTATTATCACAAAAACAATAAGTTCGTAGTAAATAAGAACTTCTGAGAAGTTGTAACTTCTATAAGTTTATTAATAATCAAAATAAATGTAATCGTCATCATCAGCAAGTACAAAATCAGTTTCGGCGTCATTAATTGCTAGAAGCTCAACAGTCTTGACAATATTCTTTTACAGTCTATTACTTCGATATCCGGTGATTTTACTTCTATAAATTTTGAGTTGTCATTTTTGCCGACTTTTCTTAAGAAAGATACTTTTAACTTGCCATTTTTTGGCTTGTCTAAAATGATTCCCACGTAATAATTAACTTTTTTTGTAAAACAATATCTAACCAAAACATATTCGCCTATTTTATACTCTACAGAAACTTCTTCGCGCGTTGAACTAGTCGAGGGCCCTGGTTCTGAAAAATGATCTACTGTTACAGGAACCAGTGGTTCATTCAAACATAAATTAGGACCTGTTTTTGTGATAGTCGCTACTATGTTCTCACTGCCTATAGATAAATTAGAATCATAAGCATCTACAGGAGAACCTGGCTCATCTTGATCGGAAACAATCCCGCATATATCTGAATCACTGTGAATACTCATATCGATATCACTGTTGCTTGATTTACTGTCTCTTCGTTTCAACTTCTTCTTTAAGCCTTTCATATTTTTTTCTTTGGAAACTTTAAAGTCTTTTCTAATTTTTTCCTTTGGTCGCAGCTTAACATTGGATGTTTTTGTTTTTTTAATTTTTTCCGCTTTTGTTGAAATGTTTCTAGACTTTTCTGTGTAAAAAGAAAAATCATTTTGTTTTGCTATCGTTTGTCTAGCTTCAATATTTTCTTTATCATAATCGCTTTGGTAAATAATATTTGACGTACGTTTTGTGGACGGTATGTTACACAAGATACAATCTTTGGTTTTTGTTTTTCAGTCTTCAATAGGTTAGTGTTTTCTTTACACGAATCATGATTCTTTGGTTTCAAAATAATATTTGTCCGAGCACATTCACGAATGATGGTACCGCTTGAAGCATTTATTTCACATAATGTGGGTGTAATTTGTGAGAGTAAAGTTCCGTTTTTTTCGTCTAATATGTCAATTTCAGTAAGAGTTGGTAAAGCTTGATCTTCTGTTGTATGTGTGTTTAAATTGTATTCGTCATTATTTCCTATCATATCATCAATTGTATCATTTTCGTTAACGCTATTTTTGCCTGCCAAGAATGATAAAGAGAAGTTATCACAGAATTATAGTTCGTCTTTGAATTGATCTAAAATTTTATTCTCTTTGCCGACACTTGCCGTTGAAGGTGTATCGTTCAATATCTGGTTTTTAGCTTTTTGAACAGCGGTACTTTTTATTAGAGCAGATTTGTTTTTTGCGGGACGTTTCTTAGTGTCTTTAGTCCGGTTTTGAATATCATCAACTGTAACAGATTTTCCAGGTTCAATCACGACTTTCCTGTTCCTATCTGATGTCAATGGTTTAGACTGTCTGGTAGTTTTTAAATATTCTAATAAAGCACTGTCAATATTATGAGCATTGCCCATTTCTTCGGCACATTCTGGGATTCTTTTCAAAACTTCACGTGGATTAAAAGGGTATATCCCAGTGGCTCTAAAGCCGCTTTTTATGTTTTGTACCTCGTTCATTTCAATTGTTTTAATCAATTGCGTAAGCAATTTTGGGAAGTAGTTTTTGTTGATTGCCTTTTGATTTGGGTTTTCCATTTTGTACTGTAATAAGATCTTGCGCCAGGCCTTTTTAAGGGGCGCAAAAAAAGCCACATCAAGGGGTTGGGTGAGATGTGTAGAATTAGGAGGAATAAACACAAAATATGTGTTGTGATCCTGACATAACTCAGTGACGCCTAAACTTAAGTGACTGGACAAGTTGTCACATATGACTACTTTTTTACCACTCAAACCCTCTGCCCATGTCAATACAACATTTTTAAAATAATCTTCAAATATTGTGGAATCAAACCATCCGGATGATGTTCGGTTGTATCTTGCACCACGAGGGCCTCCTTGAATCCATTCCGAATATAAATTGTCTGCCTTATATACCACATACGGAGATAGACTAGTACCGTTGGCTGCCGCAGAAAACATTAGCGAAATGGCGCCTTTTGAGGAGTTAAGGACTCGCTCAGGATATTTTACACCCCTGCGAAATATGCACTTAAAATATTAGATGGAGGAACATCTCTTACAGTTTCTCTAAATTCTGATAATATTTTAAGAAATCCTTCGCGCTTTTTTGAGCCCGCGCTATTTTAATATTTTGCGTACTTCTAACAGAAAGTTCACCTGCATGCCGAAGAAAACTTGTAACCCAGTCTTTGTCTGGTGGTTTTCCATGAAATAAATTTTCACGATTATTTTTTTTCAGATATTCGAAAACAGTCAAACGTAAATCAAGCTTCGTTAGTGGGCAACCATATTCGCCGGCTGCAATCAATGCTTGAACAATACTCTTTTCCTCTTGGAAAGAGAGTCGAGTAGGAGTTCCAACATTTTTGTTATGGCACTCTTTCACTTTGTTTAGGATGGTGCGCCTAGGTATACCAAATGTTTTTTCGGCTGTTCTAGAGGACATTCCATTTTCTTTAGCATTTTCTACTGCGAGGTGCAGCATCTCCTCTGAATAATTTTTATATGGCCGAGACCCGAGGACTCTGCGATTTCTTCTTTTAATAGGCTTTCCCATACTGCAAAAAACATACTAAACTATAGTTTCTGTTTTTCAACAAAGTGACTAGTTATTGAGACATAGACACATATTTTTGTATCGTATTTATCTTTCTAGCCAAATCATCTTTAACACAATCCATTCACTGTTTTTTTGGCCGAACAAACTGTTGTGTAACATATTCATCATTTTCCCGCATCACACGTCCACACCATGACAATCATACAACCGTAAATATAAAATAAAAACCGATTTTATATTTAGTATGGGTGCCAACCCTAACACTATTTTTGAAGTGGGCAATGTTGTCACTCCTGTGTTCACGCAACTTCGGGAATCATTGCCCATCCTGTTATCTTGAAAATGATATGATTTAAAGGTCTCAAACTAGCATAGAAATGAAGCGTAGCACTTATTGTAACACTAAACTTAAAATAACTTACCTGAAAGATGTCGTACGCTGACAGTGTGAAAAAACGTAAAACAAGATTTTTGCACCATCTCACACTAGTGACCTACTTCCGACATGTCTTGCCGACAACTGAGTGAACTTTGTAACGTCACTAGCATTTAGTGTTGCCAAAAAAATATTCTAATTTACGCTAAATATTGAAAAATGTTGTCAGCTGTGTAAATTTATTTACAATTCAAGATTTAAGTTATTTTTCGTGTTCGGGCAAAGATATCCGCTAAGGGCAATGATGGCCGGTTTTACGGTACGCGAATCACTTCTATCCATTTCTCTTTAATGTCTTTATTTCGGATTGGGAACCTTAAAAACATAGATTTTTTGAAGTGATGATAAAACATGGAAAAACAAAAAAATGCCTATTTACACTTACATTAATTTTATGAATATTAAAAGTAAAATAGAAATAGGTAAATGAACGTGGTACATTAAGTTTCGCGTCACATTAATAACTTAATAAATGGGGACTACTGTGACGCTTACTGTGGAACACGGGAGTTTATGTAAGTTTTATAATTAATTGTGCTGTGTTTTTTATTTCTGGAAGATTGGTTTTTACATTCGTTTACAACACAATTCGGCAATTTTTCTTTAAAAACTGCGAATTATTATAGAGTAACACTCCGTGCGCTCGAATAGCTCGAATGACAAGGTATGGCTTAGTTTCGTTATATCTGTGTGCGTGAAACTGTGTATGTACAAGGCAAGGCTGAGTCTGAGTATGTAGGTAGGTTTGCGTAGCTGTCTACCCGAACTCAATTTGAGGCAGAAAATCGTTTGTAACTGTAGTTACCAAACTCGCTGCAGCGGTTATAGAAGATTCTGGACTGGAGTAGTTTTCTTCGCAGTTTTTTTGAAGTTTGTCTCAGTTTATACACAAGACATTTTGTGATACTGGACAGACAGTCCTTTAAATTGTGATTTCTATGTTAGACATATTTTTGTCTAAACCTTAATCGTCGACAAGTCCATTATTAAATACATATTGCAGATTTGTCAAGTTCGTACAGAAATATTATTTACTTGAATATTTCCACGCTTCGTGATTCAATTATACTTTTCATGGCAGGGCCAAATTATCTCTGATCTTTCAATGTAAAGACAAAAGCCGTGCAAAGTCCCAGGTTTCGCAGCTTTGTCTAGATTTAACTAAATCATGCTATTCCTCGGATTTTCAGTGCCATTAACTGTATTTTAAAAGATTTCATAACAAGTTGAAATCATTTATTCAATTCAGACTTATTAGACATTTGTATCCGTACTTCTATGCACGATTCATATATTCAAGAACCGTTTCGTTTCGTTCCCCATTACGATCCGTTTAATTATATTCGAAGTGCATGTTAAAACAGGTTTTACTAAAACTATGTTGAAATCTAAACTAGTTCCTTGCGTGCACTTCTGCGCTGCAGAACGGCTCGTAATGGAAAACGAAGCGTTTTATAATTATAGAAATCGAGCATAAGAGAGTATTGGAGCTTAGAAAGTGAATTTTCAAGTTGCTTCTTTGTCTGTTCTTTGCCTGTTGTAAGACTTATGTCTTATTATTATTACTAGTGATATAGGTTCGTATTATAATTCCTAGAATAAGACTTAGAATATGTTTTACTCTAGGTCTTATTTCTTCCACCCTTTTCCAAAATTTGTCTGCTGAGATCTTTGTTTAGATCTAGCAGCGTTCTATTAAGGTTAGTATTCAGAGATGATCTTGATTTTAAACTGAAAGCTTATTATGTCAAAATTTGTGTAACGTATTTAGTCGACACTCATTTGACATTGTGAATTTGAATTTAAATTCGAGATTGTCTCTGAATACCGGTCTAAGAGTTCTAGATTGAAGTCTTGACAACCTCATGGAGCTGTATTTTTGATGGGAAAAGTCTGGGAAAGGCCTATTTTCCCCAACTTTTTTCTCCATTTGTGTCAATGCTACAATACTTTCGTATTTATTACTGAGAAGCGAATGCATGAAATGAATTATTGTGCTGTTCCATTTGAAGAAAGTGGCTATCTTGGATAGGGTCCAAATTGATAACCTCATTTTGGTAAAGTAGTCATCAGGTTCCCTAAGCTCTTGGAGTTTAGCATACACCTCTTAGAGGATCATATAAAGTCTTAATTCTTCCGGAACTGGCGGTTCTCTGTCAGTTTCTTTCATATTTTCTACAAACATGATAATCCTTACATATTTTTTCTGTCTACCTTCTCGCAGTTCTAAATGATAAATACGAATTATGTGATCTTTTGTATTTATGTACAAATTCCGTTGTTACTCTTCTGTGTTTCCTTAAACAATTGTCTTGTAAAGGTTGAGCTTGGACATTTTTTGTCCTGCTCTTACAGTCGACTGATGCCAGCGAAGAGTTGGTCATACCCTATACTGTCTGTTCGGTTACCCTTCACTTCACTTTCCATACGGGATTAAAGTTACTTCAGTTTTTACAAAAATAAAAATTGGGCATTTCTCTGTCTCGAGATTTCATAGATTTACTTGTGGTTTAAATAGGGATCTTGACATTGACTATTCGTACCCTCTACATTTGGTGAAGAAAAAGGGAAGTTGAGGAATTTTTTAAACAAAAATTTAAGGAATCGTCAGACATCCTTCATCCCGTGTTTGCTCGTAATCAAATCAAAGATTTTGTGTAAGGTTTGAAAAAGTGTAGTGGGGCCATTATCCCTTTGCTTCAATTTTCCGACGAAACTGTCAGTGAATTATACAACATGTAACAAAAACGCTGTGGTTCCCGTTAACTGCGTTATCAGAATCAGTATCCAAGCATATAGAAATAATTTTTATTTCAAAAAACACATTTAAAAAATGTTATGGAAAAAAATTAATTTGCAAATTATATGTGGTTTTATTTCATCTAACTCACACGAGTATCTGTAATGCGGGGTCTTTGACAATCCTCTAACTCCTCGGCCAATGCAAAGATAATAAAACCACATACAATTTGCAAATTAATTTTTTTGAATAAAAAATTATTTATATACGCTTGGATACTGATTCTGAGAATGCACTTAACGGGAACCACAGGGTTTTTGTTACATGTTATATATATATATATGTTTATATGCTGCCGTTGGACACGGACGCCACCCCTCCTTGGTACCCAACAAACCTGGGTCTGCAAGGGACCACAGGGCTCTTATCCAAGATCTCCTCAGTCACCGGTTCATAGTAGCCTGTGTGATTAGAGGAGGGATCCTCAGCTATCCAGTAGTTTATCTTAGGGTGAAGATGACATAAAGGTGAGGATACAAATTCCCATTCATTCACCACGTTGCACCCCCATACCATCAAAATGGGTCCATCCGCCTCCGCAACCACATGGTCTTTTGAGAGTAGTTGTCTTGCCAGAGTGGTTGGCGCTGTTTCAGAAGACATCCAGAAGAGGGTTTTTAACTGTATTATGATATGACACAGTTAAAAAATCCTGGTGTCTCTCGCTAGGCGGATGGTCTTCTTCTAGATACATGATCTTTCTGATGTCCTCTGTTGTGTCACTTTTCTGTCGTCTGTAAAGGTGTGTTATGGGCTTTATCCATTTCAGTAATATCCTCTCGCCGGTTACACTTCAGAATCCTAAGTCCCATCCACTCTCCGGAGTAACAAGGTCTAAGACTTTGTACAGCGTCATCGATGTCTGGTCAATACAGTATGAGGCAGTACACAGAGCGTTCTCCACTATCTTCGAGGACCTGCTCCTCGTTTCTAGTTGGTGAAGAGACGATGTGTGCACAAAAAGCAAACCAGAGTCTGTTTTACAGGTGTAATCCATGCAACTGGCTTTGGCTCCCTTTACAAAGAACCCCCCTGGGCTGTTTTCCATCATTATACACATAGAGTAGGTCGTTTTTTCTTAAAGAACGCTTGGCGCTCCTATCTGATCACTATGTGTTACTCGACTTTTTCTATTGATCCCTTCTCTAACTCATTATTATTTTCTCATTATCTCTAACTCACACACATATGTTCTCTTATGAGATACTGTTGTACAAGGTGACAAAAACTAAATGTAATACAAGAGGAATACTGAATATAAAACAAGAGGGGAGTATAAGTAATATTAATAATAGTGCAAGCTTAAATCTAAATCTTATATGACTAAGTATGGCCTAATTTATATGGTGTTGCTGCGGTTTTTATCTCCGGGACCTTCTTCTCACCGGCTCACTCTCGTCATCACTTTCGGACCTGGGACGTCTTCTTTGGGTAACCGGGTAACCCAAGCGTATTAATTTTGACTTCGTCTCCTCAGACATCTCTCCGAGCTCCGCGGTGACCGTCTTTTTTATGTACTTGTCAATTAAGTAGGCATGGCGGGAGGTGTGGGCTTGGGACAACTGAAAATTATCCCCCACTAACTTATTTAACTTGGCGTACGCTATGGACGCGTAATATAGGTCGGGGTAATGGTCGTGGTTAAGCTCTGAAGGGCTAGATGGGTTTTTAACCCTGCTGTATGCTACATTAGGATCTTCTTCCTTTTGCTTTGTTCCAACGAGCTTGGAGAAGGAGCGCTTGATCTAGAACAGCGGGGATTTCGAGTGCCCTGCAGTGGGACTTCGAAAACGCGTCCATATATTGGACTGCCTTAAGCGAGGAGTGTCCCCACACAAGTTTGACTTGTGAGAGGATAAGGTTATTTCGCCGTGTACTCGAGCGATATAACCTTATCCACGATCTCCACTCGGAGGTCATCCCTTACAGCGATGATATTTTGAAACAGTGTGGCTAAGGAGATGATGGAAGTCCACGTCTCCGGTGCCACAATGTCCGCCATCTGAACCGACGCCGATACCGCCTTCCACCTCTTCGAGTATGCGGGGCTATTCTGTGCAGATACAGGTTTCGCCAGCGTCATGAGGGATGATAAGGTGAACCCTAATATTCCCATGTCAACCTCCGCATCTGTTTTGGTGGTTTCCCTTGGGCCAGGGACCCCCTCCCGAAGACCATTCATACACTCCGTGGTGAAAGGCGCCAGGAACGCCAGGACGGCGGATAGAATCATGTCGTCACTGTACACCAACTTTCCTTCTTCTCCCACGATATCTCCTCCTGTTCTATGTCATACTCTCCAGTTCTTGATATATTGATATACGACCCTATTTCTTACTACCAGCTCGTGATCATCGACAGGGATGGTGAAGGGCATGGCTGGGTTATGGTATCTCATAATTTTTTACTTCTTACTAAATTCTCTGTTCTTTTTTGGTCGTCTTTTGTATATATATATATATATATATATATATATATATATATATATATATATATATATATACATGTATATGTATATATATGTATAATTATTTATTAGAATAAAATATATAAATAAAATAATTTTTAGCCCCTGAGACAAAAGTCAAAAGCTTAGAGATTTCTGCTAGCAGTGGATTTTCAGGACATTCGATTTGACAGTTCGGCCGCCACCGACACCGCCAACGGGAACGTCATGTTGGTGCATATATCCATGTAGTCAGCAGCATGCACCGTGCATGCTTTAAGCATAATGTTCTTCTTTGGTAGAGATATTGCATCACATTACGTTCCTGTTGACTACATACCAATTCAAATACAGCATGGGGGACGGTCAGTTCTAGAGCTGTGGCACACGTTAGAGGTTGGGCACAGCCAAGTACAGAGTAGGGTAGTGAGTGACTTCAGTTTGAATCCCCTACTAACACAAACATTATCTTCCTGGGCCAGGTAGATATACATTATGGCTGCAGGTTATGGATGTATGGTAGTCCGAGAAATAATTAACACCTGCTTATCAGTTTATTACACACCGTAAGTCTAAAGAACATTTTCTGAGTTGCATTTACTTTCAAGATCAGTTTTACGTGTTATTCTACTTTCAAGGTCATATTGGGACGGCTGTGGTGATTCAGTGATCGTAGCTACTTCATCACCATAACTGTTCCTGTATCATCCTTTTATGTTAAGGTTATCATTGAAAATTACATCTTTTGTACCCAAAATTTGTGTAACATAGTCGTCTCATGAAATTGCGAATTACTCTTAGATTTTTCCTAAGTATCGGGCTAAGAGTTCTTGATGGAAGGCTAGACAACCTCATGGAGATTATAACTGTAATTTTGATGGGATAAGTCGGGCAAAGTCCGGTTACTTTCCCCTACTTTTTGCTGCTTTTGTATAATTATTGACGTTGGTATGGTATCACTGATAAGCAAATTCATGAAACCAGTTACCCACCGTAGTTCTAAAGAGCGTCTCTGAGTTGCATTCACTTTTAGGTTATCAAATTTACGTGTAATACGATTGTTTAGCTTTATTTGGGATGGCTGTAGTGATATAGTGATGGTCCTTCATTACCATAAATGTCCCTCTATTATACTTTTATGTTAAGATTCTCTTAATCTTATTGTAGTCTATAGAGTTAAGGAAGTGCGCATATATTAAAGAAAACAAATGCTTTAAATTGATAATTCATTTTTCAAGTATTAATGTTATTCATAGCATAATATACAACATAAACAAAATTACAGTTGTAATAAAATTGTTCCAATTGTTTCACTTTTGTATTCAGTTAGGTTATCATTCGTTTGATAAATAATGTGTATCTGATTTGAAAAAAATCTGCCCCAATTTAGTAACTCACAGATGTGTATTTATACTGTCAGATGTTTCTTTAAGTCAATTAAAAGGTAAAAATTGTTTAGTGTGCAACATTGAAGTCATTTAATTAAAATGACGCTTTGTTGAATATTGTCTATTGGCAGCATTTAGTGCTTATACCTAAAGTGATAAGTCTTTTAGTTGACTCTCAAAAAAGGTCACATTAGGTGGGTGGTAGCTTAACCTAAGATGTTTTTAAGGCTTGATGTTTAAAATTATTCTTAGTTTACGAATATTGCCTTTTACCTATTTACCCGTTATTACCATAAGTTGTTAATGCTTTAGTTAACGCAAGTCTGCGGTCAAAAACTTGCATCTTAACTTTAGTATAGTTATTTTTATTGTTAGTCTTTTTGTTTTGTAAAGCAATAATGCTGCATAAAAGCTGTAGTGTCTAACATATTTCTAAAGTTTTAATATCTTGGAATGCTTGACTTTTTTATATGTGGAAGTAGTAGGGTACTTCAACGTATAAAAACATGATTCATTTTGATTTCGATATGCGTAGAATTTCTGCTTAATAAACTACGCCTATGACCCTGCAATGTCAAATATTATCTTCGTTTTGCAAAATGTTATTTCAGTCCACTTGGCGATAAGGAAAAATATACATTATTACCTAAGAATAAAGTTGTAAGTTAATAATTTTTTGTCTTTGAAATTAAATACTTTTAATAATTTAAGGTTTTTTTATTTGTCGAAAATCCCAAGGAAACCTCATTTTGTTTTCTACTCCAGCACGAAGCTATTATTTTGAATAGATGAGGACATGATTGACTTTGAGAAAATACTTGGTCTCTTGTTGGTTTAAATTGAGTGAGTATATCAATTGCGCTCACAATAAATGGAAAGCATCCGCTGTGACCTTGATGGTCTTACCTTACAGTAATGAGACCCAGAAGCCTAGAAGTTAACACTATTGAGGGGATCCTTTAATTTCACTTGTGGGAGATATAGGTAAGGAGGGTTTATACAACACCTTTTAATACGATGAAAGGTGACCAACAGACACACAATTTATGTGCTGATAAGTAGATGCTGTGGCCCCTAGAGACCTACATTTATCTACAAAGAATAAAATTTGTCAACGTTGTCACCCCTGAAGAGCGATGGAAAGCCTTATTACCGGTAAAAATGATTTCTGGTTCACCTTAAAGTAAAAAAAGCTACAGCCTATATAATAAGTCCCACTGCTGGGCACAGACTGTCCGTTGCGCTGCCCCAATGCGTGTTGGCAAACTTCACATGTCTTCGATATATTTTTTTTCTTATTTCTCAGACATGCCGGTTTCCTCACGATGTTTTACTTCACCGCCGAGCATGTGGTAAATCAGCACTTAACAATTTCATTGGTGCCGGCGAGGATCAAACTCGAGTAACTCGCGTATTGTGGAATTTACAGCGAGGGCTAACAACCTAAGTTATCACGGCTCCTAAACACTATAAAAAAATTAAGGGAGCAAAAAAAATTCCAAATTCATTCAGTGGTTTTTCAAGAAAACTCTTAAACTTCTTCAAAATTTTCTGTATAGTTAAGTTGTTACTGGCTGTTAAGTTATCAATGGTTGAAGAGAAAAGGGTGTTTTTACGTTCAGCTTCGGATACCTCCGTTACAAATGGACGTACCAAGAAAAGAAAAAAGAAAATAGAAGCTGAATAACCGGACTATCTGCTCCATATGATTGTTTAATCGAAATATTTTGTCCAAGCCCGTAGAGCATTTTTATTTTGAAAAAAAAAACAACATTTGAATTTTTTCGCGCTATTTTGTTAGATTCCGTTAAAACCGTGAAGAAAAAAGCAGAAAACTAGAATCTTAGAGCTACAAATGCTTTTTTTTAGTCTAGTATAGTCTTTTTCACTATCTCAGTGAAAAATGCAATGCGACAGTTCGTCAAAAATCACCGAAATATAAATTTTTTGCTCCTTTAATTTTTGTGCGATGTACTGTATATATAAACAAGGCTAATATAAACTGGTTTATTTGACTACCATTTAATAAACAAGTTTACAAATAAAGTTTGGCAAGTGGATGTTGCCAATAAATTCTATTAGGTACAATGCAATTAAATTATACCTTCACACCGAATTTTGGTTACATCGACCAGTCTCAGCGTAGAGTAGCCATCGGCGCAGACCTGGATTATAGTGAACGAGTGCATGCTGCATGCGCAAGCACAGGTGCATTCTCTATTCCCTCATAATCTAAGATCCCGCTGCAAAATCACTACGTTCATTACGTAGTGAGTCAAACGCACATTTTTACATACTTTTATGAATAGGAGAATACACTGATAATACCGCAGCCAGTCAAAAGTGGCCGCAAGTAATTTTAATTAAATTAATGTTAATTAATATTCAAAAAAAATCATTCACCTCTCTTTTAAATAAAATATCATCCACATCATAACAACGCATGTAAAGAATTCTAAAACTCATAGGTGCCGTTGCACACTCGGCCACAACTACCTCGCAGCCAGGTGTAAGCAGGTAATATTTTGATATAAGGTGCGTTGGGGCAATACCGGACGGATTTTCGACTAGTTAAAAGAGTCTGGCAAAAACTTTATTTTCTCGACATCCATATACGTCAGATTTCTGAAACATGGCGCAAATCGTTAATGGTTACACGTAATTCAGCTATAAGAAGCTTTTACTTTTCAAAACTCAGCAGTTTCTGCTTAAAACGTGTGTGAAGACAAGGCATAATTTTTTATATGCATGATGAAGAATTGGCCATCAAGGAGAAAGACCGGACGTCGCTAAAAATCGCAATTAAAAGTGATAGGGAAAGACCGGACAGACGAAAAAAATTCAAAAATTATATTGTTTTATTAAATACTGCGCAGCACACGCCCTACTTCTCTGAGCACTGGCTGAAACTTGGGGTCGGGGCAGAATAAAATGGAGTCTTGTACCATATTGCTAGCTTTCAAAAATATGGCATAATTTACCGGAAATTTGAATTTTACGGTCTTACCCCATCACCGATCTTACCACAATGCACTATATTTATACGTTTATGACTTACACGGATGTTCTTTATATCAAATTAAAGCTAATTTTTTTCTAATATGATGATATATGTCTGCCTGTGAAAAAATAGCCGCAAATTAGGAGTGCTATCTGTTAAAAACGCGAGATATCCGAGATAAAATGAGAGGGAGCTAGCGCGCAACGCCACTTGTTAGATAAGGATGGCGAATGCCAGCTGTGTGAGTATTTAAAGCCATTGCGCATGCGTCGATAGGGTCCCCAACAAGTTCACCGCATTGTGGAATATATCCTCAGCGGTTTCTATCCTCGTCGTCATAAGACCATCGCGGTCTTTTTCGATATAGCTAAAGCTTTCGATAGAGTCTGGCACACAGGCCTTATCTACAAGCTCTATAAAATAGGTCTCCCCGATCGTCTAGTTCGTCTCGTGGCCTCCTATTTAAAACATCGTACCTTTCGTTTTAGACACGAAGGCACGCTTTCTTCACAGCGAACTATCAAGGCTGGTGTCCCTCAGGGCTCAGTACTTGCTCCTCTGCTGTACATCCTGTTCACCAACGACATTCCCATCCCGTCGAAAGGTGTTCAACTCTCCCTCTTCGCAGACGACACTGCCATCTACTGCAAAGGTGTCTCACTACCCTTCATACGGAACAAGATCCAAAAGTCAGTTGATGACCTAGGAGCTTGGTTCAAAAAATGGCGCATCGATGTGAACCCGGAGAAGAGCTCCGCCGTTCACTTCGATTATAAACGACGCCGTCTCAAAAACACTCCACCAATACGTATGCTAGGGACCCCTGTCCCCTGGCATACGTCCGCCAAATATTTAGGTGTCACTCTAGACACAGGGCTCACTTTCAGGCCCCACGTCAAAAGAGTAACCCGTCACGCACGGTTTTATCTGAGTAGGCTCAACAGTATGTTGGGCCGACACAGTAAAATGTCCCTTCGAAACAAGCGTACCCTTTACAAGGTCTGTATACGACCAGTCATGTTCTACGCGGGCCCCGTCTTTGCCCACGCAAACCCTAATATTTTAAATGAACTCCAAATAGTTCAGAACCTCTTCTGTCGTCGAGCTGCGAACGCACCTTGGTACGTCCGTAATGCCGACCTTCATCGGGACTTAGAGCTCCCAACAATTCAACAATTTTTTAAAAAACTCTGAGAACTTCTTCAAAGCCTCAGAGTCGCACCCAAACCATTTAATTCGTGAGGCAGCTTCTTATGCAGCCCCACCCCCCCTCTCGCTATCGTGTCCGCAGGCCGAGAAACTCTCTCTCGGACTCGCCTAATAAACTTTCAAACGACCTGAACTGTCTCCCTGGCGGCTCAGGCCAACTCTAATTAAATAAAATTATTGTAATAACTAACATTAATTTGCCTTCGTAGGCACTCCCTCAGCGGCACTTAGCCGCCTGCGCCCTCTTTTCCCAAAAGAGGGTCGCTCATGATAAGGCACAATAGAGCTTAATCAGCCGGTTGCCTGTCCCCAAAGGCGGTTTTTAGAGGGTATCACTTAGGGTCCCCGGTAGGACAGTGAGCCCCTCATAACCACGATAGACCGGCTATCGTGGTATGCGTAATGCATTTTCCGTCTCCCTACGTATAGGGTAGCCCTTTAATTGCTTCGGGCGCAAAAAAAAAAAGCGTCGATAGATAGGGTTCTCAACAGTGCAGCTGAATTATTTCTATTGGCTTTAAATACTCACTCATCATATTAGAAAAAAAATTAGCTTTAATTTGATATAAAGAACATCCGTGTAAGTCATAAACGTGTAAATATATCAAAATATTACCTGCTTACACCTGACTGCGAGGTAGTTGTGGCCGAGTGTGCAACGGCACCTATGAGTTTTAGAATTCTTTACATGCGTTGTTATGATGTGGATGATATTTTATTTAAAAGAGACCTTCTAGAATTGAACCCGGGACCTCATTTTTTAACAGAAGACGAACATACGGCTCGCCTGATCGTAAGTATCGACCGCCGCCCAACTGCAACACAAGGGGATTTATAGGTGCTATGTCGGCCTTTTAAATAGGAGTGTTCATTTCTCCAAGGTTCCTAAGTCGTATTAGTCTGGGTAAATCGCCTGTGGTAAACGGTTCCACAAAAAAGTAGAAACGAGAAAGAAACCTCTTAATAAACCGCTGAGAGGTGGACCGCCAAGCATCCAGATGATGTGGATGGTACCATAAGTCTTAATCCGAACAATTTACCAGAGCACACCTCAGGCTTTAAATTACCATTGCAATTAAGGTGGGTGTACCACGGAAGGCCACTCTAAGAAATAAACAGTTATAATTCGTTTATTTACTGGATAAATGAAACTAACAAATATTTAAGTAATACTTTGTTTTACATAACATATAAATCATTTTTTTTAAATTGCAGATTTAATCAATATTGATTGAACTTAAGTTTCATTGAACTCTTTTAGTACCCTTGGTAGGAACAAGGCTTCTTAGAAGGTCATTATAATAAATCAGTCATTTAACACTAAAGTTTAATAAATCGCGATTAAATCTACAATAAAAGAAGTGGTTTATATGTTACGTATTAAAACAAAGTATTACTTAAATATTTGTTAGTTTCATTTATCCAGTAAATAAACGAATAATAACTGTTTATTTGTAGAGTGGCCTTCCATGGTACGCCTACCTTAAGACGGTGTCCTTAGCGAGAGACCTTGAGCGTTCGGTCCCATACAATCCACGCGCTCTCGCTACAATATATCACGGAAAAATACGCCCGAATATTTGGAATTATTTCAATTAAAAGAGATAAGCGAACTTAAGAAATTAAATAAAACGTGTAGAATATAGATTTTTAAATTATCTATCCATTAGTGTAATTCTCAAATGATTAGAGCATTTCCTTTAACAACAGATGCATGTAATCAATAATTTTAGTCATTTTTTAAAAGAAGATTTTAAATGTATTAATAACACATAAAAACAAATTAGAACGTGGAATGTGATGATAGGATATCGAACGATTAATACGATGTGCTTTTAGGTGTTGCTTATTTCTCATAACTAATGAGATAATAGTCTCCGAAAAACGCACTTTTACCAGGTTTTGGTCAGGGTACCGCCTTAACTTAATGTCGTCGATTCCCGAAATCAATGAAGCGAGGGACCGTACTGCCAAAATAGTAGCGCGGGCGATTCGCCGCCGCGTCTGTGATTTTCAGTTCGAGGGTGTTTGTGTAAGTAAAAGGAATTTGTCATCAAATGGCAATAACTACGAAATTTTAATAATTGGCCTTCCATGGTCCATCCACTTAGATTATCATTGTAATACTGAGGTGGAGGAACTAATCCACACAATAACAGTCATTTTCATTATATCATATATTTCGTTTTATTCGCGTTAGCTTTTTTTACATTCACAGAGGAATTGGTTATAAAAATCAAGCTTGACCGATGGATTTACAATCACAGTACTAGACGATTTGCACTTTTTTCAGTTGATCGAGTAAACGCAACTACACCAATAACAATATTTAAAATACAATTATCTCAAACATATATAACTATCCATTCTTAGAACATTACTACTTCGAAAAAATAAAATTCACTTTGCAGAACAATGGTTTGACATCTCTGATTTCACACCAAGATGTCTATGTCTAACTATAATTCTTCCCATAAACTTTTCAACATTAAAGTTTCCGTACATCTCTTCTGGAGTTACAGGTCTCTTTGATTCTTGAAATGATTTAATTAACTCTTTCTCGATCATCAATTTTTCTTTTTCGGAACATCTCGAGACTGCGGTGACACTTGTATCTACCCACGCTTCATAATAAGGCCGCGTGTGACTGGTTAAACAAGATGGCGCCCATTGCGCAACTTTCGTTGGCGGGAATTCGTTGATGTCGGATTCGTTGGACGATTGAGAATTATTCTTCTTTTTTCGACGACGTTTTGATGTTTTCAGTGTATTCTGAACTTTTGTCTTGTTGATTACAACTTGCCTTTTGGAGTTCGCATCCAAATATCTCGTGTTTATATGATTACTCCCCAATATATTAGAAATATTTAAAGGATCTTTAAATGAAACCGCTTTTGAAATTTTCATTGTGCTAATTTTTGAAGAGGTTGAGCTCATAATTTGATTTTCCTGTCCCGTTGAATCGTCCTCTATTTCTTGAATTACAATGTCTTCTAATGGCTTATAAGGAATTGTAATTACTTCCTTAATTTTAGCTTTTCTCAAATCAAGATCAGTCGGGTGATCTGAAACTATAAACATTGTTTACCTACGTTTTAATTTGCCCGCTGTGAACAATGTCTCTTGCTTTATTTGTAGTAATCATATTGTGTAACAGTTTTTTGTTATGTAGTAGGCTGTAGCGTGATACTGATAGCGAGGTCTACCCATCAATCAATCGCAAGCCATTTTTTCTCATGGGTGATGTAAAAGTAAATCCTTTATTAGTGTTAGCATCGTGGATAAGCGTATGAATTAAATTCGTACGCAAGGAACCCTATTTCGATGAAATTGTTTACTGCAATTAGGCCGCGTTGTGCAGAAATATTTTATCCCACAAATACATAGTTTTATTTTTTATAAGATAGAGAGACAAACGAGCACGATATCTACCTGATGGTAAGTGGTTGCTGTAGTTGATAACGTGCTCGATAACGAATCAAAATTCAGATGCTTTGTCACCCCTGTACTCAGGTACCTACTAAGTTTGAATGCCTCGTTTCTAGTAAAAACGGTCTCCAGTTCTCTACACTCACCATACGAAACACAGCAGCTTTAGTTAAGCTACTATTTCACATTACAACACATACATTTCTGTGTGAGCGTGGTCCTTCCCCGGATGAGCCGATGCATTTGTGCTACAACTATACTACTAATATAGCTGCAGCATGCCTCTACCATTTTAGAGTTGTAAGATCATTTTCTTTGTGGCAGGAGCCCTATTATGTCATGTACTTACAGCATTTTGAAGAATGAAAAACAAATGTAATTTTCGTGATTACTTGTTATTTTTAGAAGTCTTTTCTACTTGGAAATAAAAATAAAAAGAGCCTCTGGGTCATTATTTAGACCAGTTTAATCGGATCGGACACGATCTAATTTTGAGTGCTTTATCACTACGTGCTTGGCCGTAAAGAAAAAATATATTGGAGGACGTTGTAAGTTCGCCAACATTCATTGGGGCAGCGTGGCGGACTCCAGTCACTTTCAAAACTCTCAGAACTGAGAAGAGGTTTGTGCCTGAGATATCTAGGCTGACGATCTTTTTTGTTTTATAAACATCCTTACCTGGTTTTTGATTCGTTTTTTGGTATTGTGGCTTTTTATTTATAATGTTCTTCTCCCGAGACTTTTTCCATTCGACGGTCTTAGAATTTATTGACGGTTGCGGTTTAACTTCACTAAAAATTTTGTTTTGATTTTGGGATACACTGTCATCATACACTTCGTTATTTCTTTTAGTAAGATTTGTAACTGCTTTCACAGGGCTATTTACTTCCACAGCTTTGTTGTTTTTAGATCCATCATATTTCGTATGTAAATCCTTTTTTGGCTTCTTAGAATCTCCTCTATCATACAAAACATTTTTGCTAGCATTGTTATTGTAAATGGTATTCAAGTTTAGTTTATCAAGATTAACGTTTATCTTTTTGGGACTATCCCCTCTATCTTTTGCTTGTTTAGTATCAATCTTTTTGTCCATTTGTTCTTGTCGATTTGCTGTTTTCTTATACATTATAATTTTGTAAAATATTTGAAATATCACTAAAATTTTAAGTGGTGAGTAATGACTAATTTGACAGCTATCACCTGTAAGCCATCGCGATTTAAATTGGCCATGGAGGTCAAATACAGGTCAAAGAGCTTATAATCACTTTAAGAAGGCTTTATTACTTAGTATATTACAACTTAAAAGGCTAAAGTAAAACAGGAAGTAAAAAAAGATTTAATTTTTTGGCGTATTTGTGAAAAAATGGAACCCTTCTATACTGTTTAGAGGGCAGATCAGTCTAGTATAGCCGTTCAGCAGCGAAATGCAAGTAGAACTACACCACGAGGTGTATGGTAGATATAATCTAATAATAAGGTGGGTGTACCATGGAAGGCCACTCTACAAATAAACAGTTATTATTCGTTTATTTACTGGATAAATGAAACTAACAAATATTTAAGTAATACTTTGTTTTATTACGTAACATATAAACCACTTCTTTTTATTGTAGATTTAATCGCTATTTATTAAACTTTAGTGTTGAATGACTGATTTATTATAATCGCCTTCTAAGGAGCCTTATTCCTAGCAAGGCCATTTGGAAGAGTTCAATGAAACTAAGGTACAATCAATTTTGATTAAATCTGCAATTCAAAAAAGTGGTTTATATGTTATGTTATAAAACAAAGTATTACTTAAATATTTGTTCGTTTCATTTATCAAGTAAATAAACGAATTATAACTATTTATTTATTAAGAGCGGTCTTCCATGGTACACCTACATTAGTTTTAGCTCTTTTTGTTGTAAGTAATGTACCTGTCACAGCCAACCAGCTTAATCAGCCTTTCATTTAACAGCTTAGCCTTTTAACTACTTAAACGGCGCCATTCAACTAGCTGCCTAAATAATATTCAGCCGTAGCGTTTCCTACAACATTTGAACTGGCTGGCTAACGCTTGGGTCATTCGTACGATAGGGTGAAACAGCGCTGCTCAATTAGCAGCCTGAATGATGTCCACTTCGTGCGTTTCAGCCGAAGCGTCTAATACAACATTTCATGCCTAATTATGCACTATATTACAATAAACATATTTCTAACATTTGAAGTCCTCCAACCCGGAAAGGTGCTGCGCGGCGATCACTTACTTGCCCTAAAACCCTCTCAGAAAAGGAGGAAGCTTATGCCCAGCTGTGGAACGTATATAGTATGGAGTGTAGATGTAAGGAGAACAATCTTTCATAGGAGAATAGTTGAAAAAGTGTCCATCTGTAAGTAATAAATAAAAGTTCAAAAACACTCCATAACAGCGCTGGAGCTACAGGAAACAGTTACATGAAATGAACTTAGTAGTTGTCGACGGTGTGAAGTTTGCTGCTAAACTGCTTAGTAGCTCTAAAATAATTTTATTTAGTAAATATAACCTCGAAAAAGTCGTCTATCCCACTGATTTTTTCGGCGCGTTCTTTAAAATTTAGCCCGTAGTTATAGTGGCCACCCTTATTTAACGGTTTTCTATGGACACTTTTTAATACACAGTCTGTACTCCTTACCTCTACACTCCATAATATTATATAGGCTGTAACTTTACTGTACCTCATATTGTCCTTAGTGCTGATACTCAAATAATATAAAATTATATTCGTTGCAGCCAAAGAGTACAACATAAAATATAATCCTCGATAAAATAACATTTTACTGGCACCCAAAGAGAAGATATATAAATCACTGCATTTACTGACAGCTGTCTATAACTGTCACAGTATATAAAACCACTCAGTCTAACTCACAATTTAGACTACATAGAAATTCACAATGTGAATTATCCGTTTAAGTTAACAATGGATTCAAAATCCAAAAGCAATGTCGACAAATCCAAATCATCTAGGAGTGGAATTGTAACTAAGTCTGATTATTTGTTAAATTTGAAAGAACGGAAAAACACTGTTTCCAACAAATTATTATTAAAAAGGCGTGGAGTTTACGTTGAAAAGAATCCAGCAAAACTGAGCGATGATGGTTAATATCTTATTGGATTTAGAATGAAACCGAATGAATGAGATGAGTAACATCTTAGTTCAGTTCAAAAAACAATTTAACATTTAATACTCTTGCTATATGCCGGGCAGCTATTGCTATAAGCATTCTTTAGTTTGCTATTCAATGATATTAAAACTCGTAATTAAAGAGTTGACCGCCTCGTTGGTCTTGTGGTTGTAAATGTGCCTGCATATCTTGAAGTTCCGGGTTCGAATCCCCAGTCGGGCAAAGAGAAATCAGTTATTAAGTTTTTCAGTCAAGAATTTCTCAGTAAGAGCCCAAAGTCAGAAAGATGGCGATGTTTTGCCTCGCCATGCCTCGAAAAGCACGTAAAGCCGTTACAGTGTGATGAACTTAGACCTCCCCCATTATAGTTTTCGTCATTACAGCCCTTCACAAGTCCACTGCTGAACACAGGCTTCCCCCAAGAAATGCCTGCATCCATTGACCTCCTGCGCATCTTATCAGGTTGTTACTTCATCTGGTGAGGAGCCGCCTTACACTTTACTTTCCGGTATGAGCTGCTACTCGAGAATCTTTCTTTCCATCGGTAGTCGGTTCATCGAGCTATATGGCCGGCCAATAGCCACTTCAGCTTACTAATCCATTGAGCTATGTCGATTACTGTGGTTCTACTGCGGATATCCTCATTTTTAAGTCTACCACACAGGGAAACCCCGAGCATAGCCGTCTCCATAGCTTACTGGGCGACCTTGAGCTTTTCTCATATTGCGTACAGCGAAGGACCACGTCTCAGATCCATAAGTCATTGCAACACGCTCTGGTTGTACAACCTTGTTTTCAAGTTTTGAGGTATATCTAACGAGGTGTGTCATAATTTTCCGAATGCTGCCCAGCCTAGTTCAATCCGTTGATTTACCTTTTACCTCTTGGTCAAAAATCTCCCCCATATATTGTGTCATAGAGGAGTTTTGCCTTAGTTGCTATGCTGTTGCTATTTTTATAATTATGAATTGTTATCAAACATATCTCCTGTTACAGTTTCCCAACTGTCACCTCTTACAACACTTACGGGATGATATTGTGGATTCTCTAATGGCGTAAAAATATAACTAAAAATATGATCAATCATTTGTAATTGATATCTAGTGGTCGTAAGCGCGACTTCTGATTTACGTAGTGTCGGGCCTGAGTCTCGGGTCAGGCCAGAATCAGTTAATAGGATTAAATAATGAACAGAGTTCAATAAATTCACAGCAGCAGCCTAGATTCAAACAATTGACGGTGTTTCACTCCCGTCCTGCACCTGATTTCTTTCCGGTTTTGTTGGATTTTCGTCCCATCGGGCTACGAGAATGAAGAAACAGAAAGTGCACCCGTCTTTGCGCATATACTTGTGCACTATAATTCTGTCCTGCGCAAGTAGCTAATCTTCGTTTAGAATGGCCGCAGTTACCTTAATTCGATCTAAAAGATTATTATTTTCATTTTTGTCAATCTGTTCAATATTTAACTGCGATTTTAAATTTTTCATGCATAAGGCATGTGGCTTATCAAGATAATGATATAAAAATATGTATTTTTTTTAAACAGAAGTTGAAGTTTACAAATCTAACAGTCCAAGGATATCATCACCACAAAATTTAAGGCAAAGAAAATTTTCTGCATCAATTTTAACAAGCTCCATCGTTGGCAATCGAAATCTAGTTACACACGAAGTAATTAAAACCAGTAAAGGGTTTCGAGACTGCAGCTGCAGTAGAAGCAAAAAGCCAGAAAAGCATATGTTAGAAAACAATTTTATTAATTACAATAAAATTAATTCGGCTAAAAGTGACAAAAAAGTCAAATCCAAAATCTTAAACATGCAGAAAAATGATGAGGATCTTGTTTTCGTTTTTAAGTCCAATAACAATATGGACCACAGTGCTACGAACTCTAGAAATTCTGATGAGAAAGAATTGCCATCTGGTGTCCAAGATGATGATATCAATACAATGAGACACATTTTAAGCAAAAGCGTTTGCAACGGTATGGATCGTGTCGCTGCTGAAGTTTTACAGGGTCGAATGAAGAGAAATGAGAAGAAGTGGAAAGCTGCAGACGATCCAGAGACCTTAGTTTCTGACAACAAAATCGACGAACATTTATATAATCTATGTGTTGATTTAGTAGACACAACAATAAGTACAAACGGTTCAAAAGTTGATCACAAATGTGTATCGAATTCAAAACAGGAGCAGGATGGGTTAACTTCGAGATCAGAGACAGTTACAAAAAGAATAAAATTCAAAGAATTTGATGATACGGATCCTTACGAACTTAACAATAATCCGACTGACAAATTTTACATACTGGAAAACAATAATGTTTTAGATTTGGACCTTCCTAATGTACCGAGGCTTAAACATACGAAATTTTCACAAAAAGAAAATTTAAAAACGCAGTCATTGATTTATCCAAAGAAGAAAAAACATTTAACACAACAGTCCCAGAGTTTTAACATGTCTAAATCTAGAAAAAATGCCAAAAACGATTTTTTAAATACAATCAAGAGAGAACTGCAAAATCATGATATAATTGAGGAACCTCGAAATATGTTCGAAGCCCTCAAAGTAAAGGCCCGCAACAAAATAAAATATAATAAGCATATTCATTTTGACAACACTACTCATATAAAAACTGGAAAGGATTCAAACGATCCGGATTGCGAGTTTAATTCTCCTAAGCTTATTCAAACAAAGAAATTAAATAGAAATGGTTTGAAAGGGAATAAGTTTGCAGACAGATCTCCAATGCAGAAGCGACGAATTGAAAAACCTCGTAATTAAAAGAATTTCGATAATGATATACGACACGAATTATATGAAATCGATTCTCACATTTGACTTGGTGTACACGATTTCATTCAACACCACATATAAAAACATGTACTGAATAGAAAATTTAGGAATATAATCACATAATAAAAACCTATCTGAAAAGTGATTTAATTTTAATTTTAAAATTTTGTGCACTACCAGTCCACATCAATGATGACATATGAATCTGAGGCGAGATCCTTAACTGGCGTCCTGTAATCCGAGGCGACATCCTTGTTGGCCGTATGAAGAGCAGGTCGTTCAAAGAGCTATGCTTGAAGTTTCTCTGCGCGATAAAAGTCGTAATAAAGATACCCGCAGTAGAACCAGAGTAACCGACACAGCCCAGTGAATTAGCTGAAGTTGTAATGTATGAGAGAAAAGGTTCTCGAGTGACAGCCTCGTGCTGGTGTACAAAATGTAGAGCAGTCCCCACCTGATAGAGTGAAGACCTAGTAAGACATGTAGGAAGACGATGGGTGCAGATGACTTAGGGTCGTGTTTTGTGGCATTTAAGGTAGGTCTATATTCATCAGTGCATTTGCTATAGGCTGTAATGGTGATTATTAAAATTTAGCCAACAGTCTTCTCTACAGTCTACTAAAAAATGTTTGCAAGAAATTAATTCTACTTTTTTTTAACCTTATTTTGTACAAGAATGTTAGTTTTGCTAGTGGCGTAAGTTGCACACCAAATCAAATTGTCACGCTTATTGCATAAGATTTTAGTTCATCTGATGCTGTGACTCATAGACATCTACATCTCCTCATTATCCTCGATTAAGAATCAAAATGCACATTCGTTGTCAACCTCGTTTCCAATACAAAGGGTCTCCGGTTCCATACACTCACCATATGAAACACAGCAGCATTACGCTGCTATTTTACGTTGGTTTTCTGTGAGGGCGTGGTCCTTTCCCGGTCAAGCTGACCCATTCGTGCTACAACCACAATATAGTTGTTGCATGGCTCTACCACGTATAAAATGCTACTGCTACCCATCTACTGTTTTATTTCGCTCTGTCGCCTACATAATGATTTGGGGTAGTACATTCACTTCGCCACTACGAGTCCTGGAAATATTGATTAGAAACTATTTTTCATAACATTTTTAAAGCCGCTTTTTGTTTTCGTCGGAGTTTACACGTTATCAATTGGAGATCTTATTGTTACGAGCTAGAGGTTCGTAAAAATAAAAATTGCCGATAAAATTACCTAAATTAACACTTTAATTTACTTTACACAAATTAAAGTTAAAATCACTAATAATTAAACACACTTATTCACTTTATTCCGCTCCGAAGCTTCGCTTGTTTCGCCAAATCAACACTACCTCGATCGCATCTTGCAGCGCCTACTTATATAAATTATCAAAATATCCAGAATGTTCAAGTAAACACGCGCAAGGTACCGAGAGTTCGAGTTTTAAACTTCAAGAAGTTTAGTTCTTCAGTTCGAGACTAGATGGCGCTAGTGCGCCGATTTGAGGCATTGGAGCGCGTAACACTGCCCCCTCCTAAGACATGCTCGTCCCGAGCATTATCGGTCCCATAATAACGCGCTAGGCGATCCACATGGACGATCTTAGGAGTCCCTCTTGCGCCTTTCTGTATCCGGTAGGTTACATCGTTGATCCTGGTCACAATCCGGTACGGGCCGTCCCATTTAGCTTGAAGCTTAGGAGATTTGCCTTTGCTGCGGACTGGATTGTGCAACCACACAAGTGAACCTTCGTCGAACCCTTTGTTGTTCATTTTGCGGTCATACCGGGTTTTCATCTTTTCAGACATTTGCTGGCCCGATTGTCTGACGTGCTCATAAACGTCATTCATTTTGTTCCGCAAGTCATTTGCATAATCGGTTATACTGCGTGGAGCATCAGGTGGTATCCCGGTGATCAGGTCTGCAGGCAGCCGTAATTCTCTTCCAAAGTTTGCGAAAGCTGGTGTCACTGCTGTACTTTCGTGAACGGCGCTTCGATATGACAACAAAAACGGTTGTATGTGCTTGTCCCAATCTCGTTGCCGATTGTCTACAACTTTTGCTAGGTACCTCTCCAATGTCTGATTAAATCGTTCTACCATTCCATCAGATTGCGGGTGATAAGAAGTCGTTCTTGTTTTATGAGTACCCATAACTCGGCAAGTTTCCTGGAATATTTGAGACTCAAAATTCCTTCCTTGATCGCTGTGAATCTCTAAAGGTACACCAAAACGACAGAAGACTTCATGAACTAGCTTATCAGCAACTGTTGAACCTTCTTGATTTGGAATGGCGAAGACGTCTGGCCACTTAGTGAAGTAATCCATCACAACCATGAAATACCTGTTACCGCTTTCACTCTCCGGAAACGGCCCCGCCACGTCAATGGCTATTCTCTCCCATGGTGCACCAACATTGTACAACTTCAATGCACCTCTACTACGAGTCTGAGGTCCCTTTACAGCCGCACAACTTGTACATTTGCGACACCAGTCCTCGTCATCGTTTCGACAGTGGACCCAGTAAAACCGTTCTCGGATCTTCAGTAGAGTTCGTTTAACTCCCAGATGGCCTCCTGAATAATCATTATGGTACAGCTGTAGAACATCTGGTACTTTAGTTTTAGGGACAACCATTTGTAAATGACAGCTGTCTCCCCGAACATTTTCCCATTTACGGCACAGAACTCCATCCTGAAGCAGCAAGCTGTCCCACTGGGCCCAATAGCTTTTAGTGGTTGAACTCATTGCTGAGACGTCGCTCCACTTAGGCTTGGGAGCACTGGCCTTCATCCATTCCAGGATCGGCTTGATGTCCGGATCTTCCTGCTGTGCACGTTGAAAGCTGTCCTTCCACTCGTTGCTGAGGTGGTCTGCCCTGAGCATCCTCACGGATACCACTTCCTTACTCTCTTGCCTAGTACAATGTTTGCAATCTTCAGGACAAGGTCTTCGTGATAATGCATCTGCGTTGCCATGAGATTTCCCGCTGCGATGTTCGATCTCGAAATCGTAATCCTGCAGTAGTTCAATCCACCTCGCAACTTGTCCTTCTGGATTTTTAAACTGCAATAGCCATTTTAGTGCAGCATGGTCAGTTCGTAAGTGAAATTTTCGCCCCAGAAGATATTTGCTAAAATGCTGCAACGACTTTACCACAGCTAGCAGTTCGCGTCTTGTGACACAATAGTTCCTTTCCGGTTTTGACAACGACTTGCTGAAGTACGCTATCACGACCTCGTGGTCACCATTCCGTTGAGACAACACACCGCCAAGTCCTATATCACTTGCGTCTGTGTCAGCTATAAATTCTTTGATTGCATCAGGGTATCCCAAAATAGGTGTTTTGCACAGACGGTCCTTGAGCTCCTGGAATGCGATATTACAACTTTCATCCCAGCAGAAATGTCGCTTCTCCTCGGTTAGCTTATGCAGAGGTTTGGCTATATCTGCAAAGTTCTTCACAAAACGTCGGTAATAGGAGCACAAACCCAAAAATGCTCTAACCTGCGTCTTGTCTTTTGGAACCGGCCAATCCTTTACAGCTGCGATTTTCTCTGGATCCGTGCGGATACCTTCTTCCGACACTACGTACCCCAAAAAGTTGACTTGCCGTTTGAATAGTGAACATTTCTTCGGACTCAACTTGAGGTTGGCACTCTTAATCTTCATGAGCACGCGTTCCAAGTTTTGAAGGTGTTCCTCAAACGTACGGCCCACGATGACGATGTCATCCAAGTAGACCAGACAGGCGTCGCCAATTAGCCCGGTAAGTACAAGTTCCATCAGCCTTTCAAACGTTGCTGGAGCATTGCACAACCCAAACGGCATTACTTTAAATTGCCACAGACCCTTTCCCGTCGAGAACGCAGTTTTCTCCTTGTCCTTAGGGTCAATTTCAACTTGCCAGTAGCCACTTTTTTACATTCAGCGTGCTAAACCATTTTACTCCTGTAAGCATGTCCAGTGTGTCATCAATTCTTGGCAAGGGATAGCCGTCCTTCTTTGTAACGTCGTTCAGATGGCGGTAATCAACACAGAACCGCATGCTGCCATCCTTCTTCTTTACCAGCACCACGGGGGAACACCATGGACTAGATGAAGGTTCAATAACACCATCCTTCACCATTCCCTCAATCATGGTTTCCACTTCCTTTTCACGTGCTACCGGCAATCTTCTTGGCCGCTGACGGATAGGCAATTCCTCTCCTGTGTTTATTTTGTGTTGAACTAAGCCAGTCTTTCCTATGTCAGCATCGTTTGACGAGAATACATCGCCGTACTTGAGTAACAACTTCTTCGCCTTGACCAATTCGTTCGGGGAGAGAACACTGCGACAGTCTTCCAAAGGTTCAGCACACGTATTCTCGAGATGTCAGTGGTTCTGACCAAGGTTCGAGCTACTTTCCATGGAAGGTCATTGTTTACCCTTTCCACAAGTACACAACGGTGAGCTTGCCCAGCGTTTCGGGGAAGACTAACCGGAACAATCGTTTCCGATCTCGGCGGAAGAACAATCTTCTTAATGCTGTACACGTTCCCTGGTAACGCACCTTCCATAAAAAGTTCCTCCTGTCCACATTTCAAAACACCTTGCTTAACGTCGATCTCACAACAATTATTCCTCATAAAGTCTAGGCCTAGGATGCAGTCGTCCATTATATCAGCCACGATGACATTATGCAGGTAGATCATGTTGCCTAGCTTCAACTCCATCTCCTTCTCTCCACGGACGGGTATACGCTAACCGGTGGCTGTTACCAAATTAATGCGTTCTCGGTTGTATGCGGAGTCCCCAAGGAACTGACTTATAAGTTGGGAACTAACAACCGTACGAGAGGCTCCAGTGTCTATGGTCAGCTTACATGGCATTCCGTTGATCTCGCCCTTTATGATTAGACTGTTCCCATCATGGGTTTGTGAGATCGAGATCCTTGGGGCTCTTTTAACATCAGCCAGCACCCGCCCCGCAGTTCTGGCTTTTACTCGT